AGCCCCAGCTGTGGGGCGCACTGAAATGGTGACTGAGACTGGGCAGGGTCGTGCTCACCTGTAATCCCAGCGCTTGGGAGACTGAAAACAGGATCAGCACGAGTCTGATCTGTTAGTAAGGCCCTGTAGACCCTGTCTTAATTACATAAAAAATAAAAAAGTAAGCATATAGTAATAGAACATAAACAGTAAGAATAAATTTATTAAAGGTTAATAATAATCTTTATTATTGGGAAACAGTGGAGCCAACTAACAAATGCCTGCTTTTTGAAATATTTATGCAGCGATTAATATTACAGGTGTCCTCAATTACAAAACAAAGACAGAAAGATAAATATGTGTTACATAATATTGAATAAAGTATAGAAGCAATGAGAGTTTAAGTACTATGAAAGAATACAAAAATAGCATTACTGAATGGTTGATAATGAGTGATACCTACATAAAGATAGATTTCATGTAATAAACTCAGGAGGAATGATGGAATTGAAAAATTCTGCCATCATTTCAAACAACAAAAGGGATTAAAAACTCAACCTAAACAATGTCAACCAATTTAAAGAAATACAAAGGAGACACAACACTCAGACTATATGAAGCTAGAAAGAACATAAGAGGTGTTTTTTTTTTTTCATATTTGGTTGTTGTCAGGTTTCAATACGTAGGTTGAACTCGAGGTGATTGTCCTGCTTTCAGCATCCCCAGAGTAGGGATTACACGTACGTGCTTCTACGACCGGACTCTGGCCTGCTCAACCCACCCTGGGGGCAGGGCTCACGTGGCATGTGATGCCTGGACCGAACCACGGTCCCTGAGCTTTCTCAGCTTGCCTAAGCAGACGTTTCAGTCCGCTGGGCTACCTCACCAGGCCGGGAGCAAAACTTTTAATGTAAGTACATTTAGTTGCATTTAACAAATTAACGTTAAAATGAAATTTGTATTTCTGAAAACTGATACTACTGAAAATAAATGTTATCTATGAACAGTTAGAAGCCTTCCTATTGAAGTAGGGACTTTAGTACACTATAGTACTAAAAAGCAAAACCAGAAGATCAAAGTCCGGGCCAATGCAGTGGCCTCCGCCTGTAATTCCAGCACTCAGGAGGCTGAGGAAGGAAGATCACTGAGTTTGTGGCCAGACTGAGATACACAGTGAGTTCAAAGCAAGCTTGAATTATAGATCGAGACCCTGTCTCAAAAAAAGCTAAATAAGAAAGAAAAATGAAACAAAAAGAAAAGAAACAAAACTGGGAGGAAATATGATCATCATTTTAGAAAACTCAAGGTAAAGGTTGTGGATTATTCAAATAAATGACTTCTAGATGATGGTGTACAGATCACTGTGGTAACATGAAGGGCCTTGCTGCCAAAGCAATAATACGAGAACATTCACATAATTATTGCTATAACTAAAGATAAAAATCTAAAATAAATTTCAATACATAATACAATGCAATGGTAGATAGGGTCAAAAGATCTACGTATCACATAATTGTGCAAATTGGCATCCCCTCTTCACAAAGTAGTACGTTTTATTATTGGCATAATTATTTATGCTTTTTTTTAATCTTCTTGAGACTGGGTCTCACTATGCTATTCAAGTTGGCCTTCAACTCAATTTGTAGCCCAGAGTGGCCTCAAACTTCCAACAGTCCTGCTGCTTCAACCTCCAAAGTGCTGGGACTACTGGGGTGTGCTATCATACCCAGTTTATTTGTGAATAATGAATACATGAAAAATGAAGTACAAATGAATGTGTTTCTCTGTGCCATTTCTACAAGTACACGCATACATGTTTTGCTTTAGGAAAGTGCATTAGAACAGAACGCTACAGAAAGTCTAAATTTGGGATCTACATGGTCACTGAACATTTTTTAAACATCTTAGAACAATTTTAGGCTGCCTACCTTGTACCGCTTCTTCTCCATATCACCCTACACCTAAAATGTAATCCCATTTTTTTTTAAGGGTTCGAGCTGACTGTCCCGAACGAAGTGGGAGATATTTTTTGTTCTCACACTGATCTTTTCCCTCAGCCAATCAGAAGCCAAAACATGCCTGTACCACCGGAAGAAGTTTTAAATTACCGCCCACTGCAGCTCGGGGCATGGCGTCACAGGGTCACGCTTTGCGTCATAGTCATAACGACGTACAACCGTTTTCGTCGTCACTGACTCCGGCTTCTCTGGTCCGTGAGAAGTGAGACCGGGTTGCTAGAGACGTGGTACCTGGTTCAACAGCAGAGGAAATTCAGGTCTTGACAGACGGTAAGGACATTAAGTAAAGTATGAGGGGACTGCGTACCCCCAGGGAAAGAAGGTTGGTATGGCCTCACGCCTCAGAAAGTTCTGGTCAGGAATCTTCTGCTCTATGCCCACAGAATTCCGTTAAACTAGGATGCTGGCCTCTACTCACCGGGGGGGGGGGCATTTGGGACCAATAAAAGGTCCCTTTTGGTTTCCATTGAACTTCCCCTCTCTTGTAATAGTGGCGTCCGCAATCTGTACTGCGTCTGCCTCTGAAAATGGCGAGCGGGGTTGGGGGAGGGGCATGGTGTGGTGCCCGAAAATGGCGTGCCACAGTTTGCTGCTTCAGGAGGGTGTTATATTCAGATGTCTGCCTGGGCACTGACACAAATAAAGTGAAATACCTCTTTATAAACCCTGGAAACAGTCATTCCAGAACTGTTTAGGCCTTACAGAGCTGTGCTCTTGCCGTCAGTCGTGGAAGCCATAGGTATCACTGTAATAATCCCCAAGTACTCCCTCACTTAACTTTCAGTTTGGTGTAGAACATGTAAAAACCTTGGTCAAAGGCTACCAAAAGTAGGTCAGCCTAAAAATGAATCTTTTCCAGTGACCTTGACTTAAATTCAAAACCTTGAAGGACCAAAGGGACTGTCTCTCCCAGGACAAAATAGCTACATAGAGTGCCACAACTGCAGCAATGCAGTGTGTGTGTGTGTGTGTGTGTGCGCGTGCACGCGCACGCACATGCGCGCACGTGTATGAGAGAGAGAGACAGGGTCTGGGTATGTAGTACAGACTGTACTTGAAATTGCTTGTGTAGCCTAGCCTGGCCTCAAATTCATGGCATACCCATAGCATGCTAATTTCTTCACACAAAATTACGATCAGACTTAACAAACAACACTGTTGTGGGGGACTTCTCCAAATGTTCTGTTTTTTCTTTTTCTTAAATTATTATTTATTTTGGCCGGGGAGATGGCTCAGAGGAATAAGTGCTTCCCTGGCAAGCGCAAGGACCTGAGTTCAATCCCCGGTTCCACCAAAAAAAAAAAAAAATATTATTTATTTTCAAGTACATAAGATTATATTTTACTGTGGGTAGTTGGTACATGCACATAGCATATCACAGTTCTCTCTTTTCCCTCTAATTCTTCCATCTCTTATTACTCCTTTCAACTTTTTTTCCTTCCTGTTTTCAAAACCTCTCTTTCCACTTTTTTTCAATTCCTTTTCCATCACCTTTGTTCTCTTTCCCTTTCACTCCATTTCTGTTCTGCTTCCGATTTGAATAAAAATCTCCCTACCTCTTACCTTTTGTTTTGCTCCTAATTTCTACTTTGACTTCCTTATATAAGTGAAGCCATGTGATATTTAAGCTTCTGTGTCTCATTTATCTCAATATTATGGTCTCAAGGTGCATACATTTATTTATGAAATCCTAAACTGTATGTTTCTTTTTTAAAAAATAATTTTACTGAGAAACAAATAGTAATGAGACAGTTTCAAAACCAATTACTAGCACAGTTTCAATATTTAATATATTGCATATTGTTGTTTTCTTATTTGTTATTCATAGTACAAGATGCAAGACATGATATTCTGTCCACAAACACTATCAGAACGAATATTTCTATTCATTGAATTAAGAGAAAGTAGCTGTATATCTATCCTAACTACTTTGAATATACAGGTACAAAATGGTCCTTCATTTGCATCCCCATTTTGTTTAGTTTTGTCAGAGAAGGGTATTCCATTGTCATTTAAATATTGTGGCTACTACCTAACAGTAGTAGCTAAGGTATGTCCTGATAACCTAAATATTGACAAAAGAACCCTACAAGTGTTTTTATTTCTTGGCTGGAGAAATGGCTTAGTAGAATAAGTGCTTGCCTGGCAAGCACAAGGGCCTGAGTTCAATCCCTGGCTCCGAAAAAAAAAAATGTTTAAGTGTTGTTACTTCTAAAGGGAGCTCCCCAAGGAAACTATGTTAGAGGCCTCCATAGTTTCTTCCTTAGTAGCATCAGGAATACAAAAGCCTTGTTTTAAGTCTCAGATCAGTAGAGGGTAGGAAGGGGCTGGAGAGATAGCTCAGTGGAATAAGTGCTTGCCAAGGTCCTGAGTTCCCTGGTACCACAAAAAATAAATAAAAAGTAGAGAGAAGGAAATCAGCTCCTCTAAGAGGGTAAGATGAGGACTTACAAATGTACTTACCCCAGCATAGGGAGATCTCAGAGAGTTCTGCCACTGCTTTCATTCCAGTTCATCTAACAACTGATACAGGTAAATGAGATTCCCCCTGGGTTCCTTACCCAAGGAGTCAAAGAGGAGAAGTCTTTGGGATGAGCAAATCAGTATCAATATACTTAGCCATAGAGATCATCAGTTCTGCTAGACACCAAGGTAATGGTCCTGAATGTCAATTGAGAAAAATATGCTCTACCCCAGAATACAACAAAATCAACAAAATATGAATCTTCTAGGTACTGTGTCAGGTCAAGCACAACATAGGGCTGCAGGGCTGGAGGCTGAATCACACTCTTAGTTACATCCACAGGGTCCTCAGGGGAAAGGAGCCCTGTGAATTCCCTGATGAATACCTTCAAGGAATCCTACAAAGGTATCTTTACCTAAAGCCAAGGTAGCATCACTCTGATGAAAAGGATCACATGATTTCATCCTCTTTCTTCCAGGTCACTGAATCACCTGTCTTCTCTCCCACACTCTGACCTTTTACATCTAAGCAAAGTCATCATGCCTCGTGGTCAGAAAAGCAAGCATCGTGCCCGTGAGAAGCGCCAGCGCCGCCAGGCTCAAGAAGAGCTTACAAGTCCACCAAGTGCTCAAGCTTCTGTAGAAAGAAAAGATGATTCACAAGGTCATCCTGAGAGTTCATCTGCTGCTAGAGCAACTCGCAGTCAACAGCCTGAGGGAGCCATGGCTGCTGGTGCTACTGCTGCTTCGTACACAAGTTCTGATGAAGAAAGCCAAGTTGAGGAAATGTTAAGGGAATTACATGTGAGCACTAAGGAATCAGAAGAATTTGTAGAAGAAAAGGTTGCTATCTTGGTACACTATCTGCTATACAAGTATCAACTGAAAGAGCCTGTTACAAAGGCAGAAATACTGCGAAACATAATGCAGATAAACAAGAATCAGTTTTTCGATGTCTTGAAGAAGGCCACTGATCACCTGGAGTTGATCTTTGGCCTTGATGTGAAAGAAGTAGATCCCAACAAGAATATCTATGTCCTCATCAACAAGCTGGAAATAGATCAAGATATAAAAACGGGTGATGTCGAAGGGATACCCCCAACTGGCCTGCTGATGACTATCCTGGGTGTGATACTCACAAAGGACAGCCACGCCACTGAGAAAGAAGTTTGGGAAGTGCTAAATATGATGGGAATATATGATGGGACTCAGCACTTCTTCTTTGGTGATGTTAAAATGCTCATCACCAAAGATTTAGTGAAAGAAAGGTACCTAGAGTATGGGCAGGTTCCAAACAGTGATCCTCCTTGCTATGAATTCCGTTGGGGCCCAAGAGCCCATGCTGAGACCAGCAAAATGAAAGTCCTTGAGTTTATGGCCAAGATCCATAATAGCACTCCTAGTGCCTTCTCACCTTATTATGAAGAAGCAGTGAAAGAACAGGAAGAAAGAGCCAAAGCCCGAGCTGCTGCTAGGGCTCGTACAGCTGCTATGGCCCGTTTACGTGCCAGGGTCAATTCCAGCAGCCTTCCTAGTTCCAAGTGAAGTCTAATAAAGTTACTTCACTGTTTTGTCAGAGAAAAGCTAATGTTCTCTTTAGTGGAGGGTGGCATGAAGCTTACAGTATAGTATATAGCATGTGTTTCTGTGTGGTAACTGTGATAACTTAGTTATATAAATTTCATTCATTTTAGTAGATAGTGACATAAACCTTACATTTTTCAAGATTTTGTGATGTTTAAGAATGAAAATTTGAGAAATACTCCATTGTATTTAGTGATATCAGACAAGATAATACAATATTAGACAGCATTCCCTTGAAAAAGACCTGGGAGAAAAATGAGAAAAAAATGTAAAGGCAATTTATTTTTGTACTTTTGTTACTTTTACTCTGTTTTGTAAGATTAAGAGATGTTCAGTGATGCAGAAGAAATGTTATAATAAACTTGAAATTTTATACACTGTCATTTATTTCTCAGATGTAACCCGGGCATTTGCTTGTGAGTGGCTCTTGCTAATATTGGTTATTTCAGGGTAAATAAGATTCACCCATGCACACTGAATTTTAAAGTCTTAAGAAATCTTGTTTAAGGAAAGTGGTGTGATACATCTTTTTTTTCAGAACCGGGGATTGAACTCAGGCCCTTGCATTTGCCAGGGAAGTGCTTATTCCACTGAGCCATCTCCCCAGCTCCTAAGATACATCTTAAAATATAAAAAACAAGTTAAAAAAAGATTCAGATAAAAATATTCAGGTACAGCTCTGAGACAAGTGTATTCAGGCCTTAGAAAACCACTAGTCTTTTAGTGTGAGTCAATTTTAAGTTAAGCTGGGTAGTTGGTCAGATGAGGCTATAGGAATGAGGATCCTGGGCCAGATCCTCAAAATCAAGTACAGTTAGAAGACTAACCCCTAGAATAGAAACTGCTTAGTTGTTACTTTGATGTACATGAGTCAGAATCATCTTCCTTCCTAATGGGAGGAGTCTGGCATTTGTATTCTGTCAGCATCCTTTTTCCAGTACAAGTGAACACAGTGAGTGAGTTGTTACATCAGTTCCAGGGAGTTTGTGAGAAATAAGCTAATGTCACCTGATAGGAAGATTTGGCCTGGAAAATACAGAGCCTGCATTAAAAGAGCATTTTCTTAGGTTGTGGTGAGTACAGTTTAGCTAGCTCTTAAGTAAATGATAGGTTTTGAATGGGAATGAAATTAATGAAAATAGGGTTAGTTTGGAGAGAGATTTGAAAACGACAGAAGGTGTTGGCTCTTGAATAGAAATTCTGAGTTAAGTTGTATCTTAACTGGAGAGAAGCCCCAGGGCTGAGGGGAATAATATGGTTGTCTAAGCACATGCCTGGGAAGCACAATGAGCCAGGTTCCATTCCTGGTACTGCATGTCTTGCCAGACCCAGAACCCCTGGAAAGCAGTGCTGGTCACCGAAACGGCATGGTGGCATACACCTGTAATCCCAAGTGCTGGGAGGCTGAGACAAGAGGATCACTATGAGTTCAAACTGTGTAGCTAGACCCTGTATCAAATAAATAAATGATTAGATATAAGTGTAAAATCCCTTAAATCAAATAAGTTTTAAGACAATCTTCAGAATAACAGCCCTCGAGAAATGGTGGTGCCAATATATACTGGGTTTTTTGTTTGTTTGTGTGTGTGTGTGTGTGTGTGTGAAACTAGGGCTTGAACTCAGGCCCTTGTGCTTGCCAGGCAAGTGCTTATTCTACTGAGCCATCTCCCCAGCCCTGAAATAAGTTTTAAAAGTTGCATAGTAACTTAGTTTTGCTTGCTACATATTCGGCTGATTTGTGTCCTTTGTCAGAATGGTGCATATTTCTGAAATCTCTTGGTTTAAAAAGCCACACTAGGGGGGCTTACCAGTTAGCTCAGCTGTTTATAAAGCACCTGCTTGAGCGAATTCATTCAGGCACAGGGACCGCAGTTCGATCTCGATCCCCAGCTCCACAAGCCAAACCAGATGTGCCATTAAAACAGCCTGAGCTAGGAGAGAGAGAGAGAGAGAGAGAGAGAGAGAGAGAGAGAGAGAGAGAGAGAGAGAGAGCCACAGCAAAGGCCGGCCAGAAAGCTCAGCAGACTAAAGCACCTGTTTTAGGCAGAGTGCAGTGGCCTTAGTTTGATCCCCAGTGTGTTGTGCCGGCCCCACCCCTGGGGCACGCTGAGACTGCAATTGAGACTGGGCATGGTGATGCACGCCTGTAATCTCAGCACTTGGGAGGCTGAAAACAGGAGAATTGCTACAAGTCCAATCTACGTAGTCAGATCCTGTAGACCCTGTACCAAATAACATTTAAAAAAATCAACAGATTTTGACAGGGCCTATGGTCAAAGAAATAATAGTAATAGCTGCCAATTATTAAAGATTCATGTCTTAGTCACGTTTCTGTTGCTCAACATAAAACAGCAGGAAAACAGGTATAATTTGGCTCACAATTTTAGTCCATAGGCCAGCAGTTCTAAGGCAGAAACAGGATGAAAGGGTGACATGGTGGAGTAAAAGGTGCTCAACCCATAGTAGCTGGGAAACAGGAGAGAGGAGATGGGGAAAATATATACCCTTCCAGGCCATACCTTCAGTTACTTGCCACTTCTGACCATGCCCAATTTCTGAAGGAGACATTCAGCTATTGAACTCATCAATAGATGAATGCATTGATGTATACAGTGATCATGCAATCCAATCACCCTCCACCTATGAGAATTTGAGGGAACATTTTAGATTTAAAGCATAACAATGAAATATGCATCACAGGAGTCCGGTGAGGCAAGATTTTTCAAATCACTGCACAGGATCCTGAACATTACATTAATTTGTAGCTTTTCTGACTGTATATAATTTCCACGGGTCAGAACTCTGGTCTGAATTTGAATTTTTAGAGCTCACATTTTTCTACTCTTTCATGCCCAAGGCAAATAAATGTTCTGTCTTAATTCATTTCTCACCAGTACACAGTATTTCTAGGCAATGAAGAAAGGAAGCATGGGGCTAATGTACTAACCCCAGGTATAATAAATGAGAATTAAACATTATTTAGGGACTACCGATGGGCCTCATTTGCCTAGGGTTCAAGTGTCCCTGACTCCAGTGCACTTTTAAGAATGCCCATGAGTTGGGACCAGGCCCAGAACTTTCCAAAATGCACTGTTGTTTCCCACTGAACTCTCATTCGTAAGCCTGCATCGTGACCTGCTGCCTAGCTCTTCCCTCCTACCTTAAAGGTTATACCTGCACCTTCAGAAAATAAAGATTATAGAGCACTACAATTCCTTGCAAATATCCCCTATATGTGACATCACTCATCGTTGAACCCCTCTGGGCACAGCCTCTTCTGCATAATTCTTCACTTTGGCAGTGACATTTAAGTATCTGCTCTGGGAATTACCACCAAAGTTTTTTGCTTTTCCAAATTTGCTTGTGAGTTAAGTCAAATTTGACACAACTACTGTGTTCTGAAAGATAATTCAAGTCAGGCTTTAAGAAGCAGTTGAGAGCCAGTGCGATAGCTCAGTGGTCTAAAGTGTCTGCTTAAGTAAGCTTAGGCAAATGCAGGGACTATGGTTCAATGCCCAGCACCACATGCTGTGCCAGCCCCATCCCGAGGGCTGACTGAGGTGGTCACAAAAAAAAAAAAAGCAGTTGAAGTTAGAAAGAAATGTGTTTGGTGAGTTATTTGAAACGTGTTGAAGCTATGTACTGGTGCGTGAACTTAATAGACAAAGAATTTGAGCCTCTTTCCTATGTAATAGATAACAAAGGATCTAAGAAATCACTATTAGAAACCTTGTCTAGAATCTGGATTTTTTTTTAAAAGCTTATGTCTTTTCAAGAGGATATAATGAGGGTCCTGCCCAATAGCTCAGTGGATTAAAGCGCAGGAGCAGGGGGTTCGATTCCCAGGCCTGCCATGCCGGCTCCGTCCCCAGGGCACACTGAGACAATTGATACCAGGCATGGTGGCACATGCCTGTAATCCTAGCTCTTGAGAGGCTATAAACAAGTGACTCACTA